CTGCCCGTTTACACACCCCCCCCCCCCGGTCTCTGTAGTTCACTTGGAGTAGCTCTGAGTGAACCAGCACAATATCCATGCCACGCCCCCCCCCGCTCTCCAGCAAACCGCGGAGAGTGGCAGCGGGGGAGGGGGTCTCTGCTGGCTCACCTGGAGCTGAGCCGGGTAAGCCACAGAGAGTGGTTGCGGTGGTGGTGGTGGTGGGAGTCTCTGCTGGCTTAGTCAGAGTTGCTCTGGGTGAACCACAGAGAGCTGCCAGGCAGTCTGGGACTCCACGCTGGGCTCGGTGAGTGGGGGAGAGATGTGATTCTTCCCCCCTCCCGTGCGAGTCTTGCGGGTCCCCACTTTTAATATATCTAATTCCCAACACAGCCCCCCCCCATCTGTGGCCGCTTAAATCTGGAAACTGGAGTCATGAACAGGCAAGATAGATCTTTCTGCAAACTTGAGAAACACCCCAGGTTTTCAGAAAAATCTGAAATCTAACAACAACGAAAATACCTTGGGGGGTTAAGAGGAGAGGGAGAGGGAGAAAAGAAAGCAAGAAAAGGGGGAGAAGCCAAGGAAAGGAAAAGGAAATAGGGAAAGGAAATAGGGAAAGGAAATAGGGGGAGGAAAGGCAAAAAGGAAAGAGTGAAGGAGGGGGAAACAAGATGCCCCCCGCAGGTCCTTGCGGGTCCCCCACTTGTGTTTTTTAAAGGTAGCCCAGGAAGGTAGACAGTGTTCCTTTTCAGAATGGCACGGGGCTGCAGCTGGTGCCAGGATTAATTCGCCGGATTGCACAGACGCTTTTTTAAATCCCAGCCAAAGGATTCAGGATGGTATCCTTATTTTATTTTTTATTGACATGATATATAGTCTGCCTCTGCCCTAGAGATGTAAAATTTCCGGAAATTTTGAAGCTCGGAAAAAACCCTGGTTTTTTCCCTGTTTTTTTTTTGGGGGGGGGGGAAATGGAAATTTTTGGGAAAATTGAAAAAAAATGCTACATTAGCACTTCTTTTGTCTTTTCTAGATTGAAAGTCATTCTGTTACTTTAGGAACATAAAAGATGAGTATGGACGTTTTTACTTGGCATGAAATTATCACAACTAGCATATTAAAAATATAGTGTATCCAAACCATTATTACAAACAGAATACCCACCCACATGCAAAAACAAAACTGAAACTTTTTTCTTTTCTTGTGACAATCGCACCTCCTAAAGGAAGAAATGCATCTTGTTCTTGCATTTGGAGAGTTCAGTTTGTAACCTAGGACTTGCTTGTCCTCAGTGCACAGAAATTAGATCAAGCTGATACCATATATATAAGAAATGATTTGGAAAATATTTGAATACTTTGTCTTCAAATATTTTATTCATCATGTTAAAATAAAACGTTCCATAATCAATTTTTTTTCTTTTCTTTTTTCAATTTTTCCAATTTTTTGGAAAAAAAACAAAAAAGGCTTCAGGAAAAAAGTTTTTTTCCTAATTTTTCCGTTTTTTTTCTGGGCCTTCACATCTCTACTCTGCCCTGACCTGGATGGGCCAGGCTAGCCTGATTCTGTCAGATCTCAGAAGCTAAGCAGGGTCGGCCCTGGTTAGTCCTTGGATGGGAGACCACTGAAGGAAATCCAGGGTTGCTACGCAGAGGCAGGCCAGGGCAAGCCACCTCTGCTCCTC